CTCCAGTCTCTCAGCTGTCTCTTTAAGTTTGGCCTCAAGCTGGATTTTTGCTTTAATGAGCCCCTCACACCTTTCCTCTGCATCACTGAGGTTTTCACCTTCCTAAAAGTCCATGCAAATTGCCAAACCATTAATTAATGTAGGATATTTATTAGACATGCACACGCGTTGTGCTGATCCAACTTACAGACTGCACTTGCAACAACAGGTCATTCTTCTCCTGGAGCAGAGAAACCATCTTCTCCTCCAGTTCTTTCTTTTTAGCCAGAGCCTTCGTTAGGTCATCTTTGGTCTTTTCAAAGTCCTCTTTCATTTGGGCCATCTCTTTTTCAGTCTCTGCACTCTTCAGCAGAGGCTTGATCTTGTAGTACACCTTCATCCATGGCCAGTGTTTCACATTCATGAATGAGCGGATATTGTACTGGATGGAGTAAATGGCCTCTCTGACAACAAAGAAATAATTTAGTTAGAAAATAGTTATTCTAAAAATCAAGTTCCAGACTGTAAACACATGAACATATACACACAAATTACCTCCTCTCCATCATCTTGACAAACTCTCTCCTCATTAGGAAACCTCTGCAGACAGCCTGAGTCATTGTGACCAGTTCAGCCAGTTTCTCATCTCTCATCTCCTCCAGAGTACCCAGCAGGCCGGCTTTGAAGAACACCTGAGAGTCAATAATTATAATTATTTTTAGGTAATTAATTATTGATGATAGTTCAACTTATACGTCTTTGCAAACAGCCTTGTACAAGGAGGTGTTTTTACTCTACCTTAGTGTGGCCAAACTTGTACTGAGTATGGTCCACATCGATGGATCCCAGCAGTTTTTCTGAGGCTTTCTTGTTGTCAATGAATTGGCCTTCTGGGATGACACTAGCATTCAATACTTTGTATCTAAAAGTAAAGATTTCATTTAGTTATACATACTAGCTGGAAGAGAATAAACATGTTTAAATTACAGTCAAGATTTTATTTCTGCTACCTCTGCTTGAAGTCACCATACTGGATTCTGCTGGGGAAACCTTTTCTGCAGATTCTGATACCCTCCAGCACACCGTTACACCTGAGCTGGTGGATGACCAGGAAGTTCTCCATCAGACCTATGATATGAAATCGAAATCCAATGTATATTGAAACTATTGTTGATATAAAAAAAGGAATATTGCACTAATTGCACGTGAAAAATCTGCATATGTCCTTCAATAAAAATTTATTTTATAAAAATGATACATAATTAAGTAATAATTAGTAATTCATGTAAAATTCTTCAATAAATGGCAAACTTTAATAACCATCAACACTGAGATAACATACCTGGAGTCTTTGATTCATTGGGAATCAGACAGCGCACAAAGTGAGGATGGGTGCTCCTCAAGTTAGTCATCAGCTTGCCCAAATTCTCCTGTAGAATTAAAAGTATATTAA